GAGATCCACTGCTATGTTCGCGAACGCGACATCGATGCGGCAGCCTCTCCAGCAGTGGCCTCAGGGGCCCAAGAGGGCGAACTCAATAGTGCCATGTCCGCTGAGCGCGCACGCTACCCGCGCAACCCGTGCCGACGCAACGCACGATCGGATTCGCCCATGCACTCCCGAGACCCAGCAACCTGCTGGTACCCTCACAGCGCTCCGATCCATCGGGGCCCCCCCGGCAGCCGCGATGAGAATGACCGCGACCATCCAGCGCGCGCCCACGAGCTCTGCAAGCGCAGGTTCGTGGATCCCCATGCACGGCCGCGCCCACGCATTGGCCAACACCCACGAGCGCCAGCACGCCGGAGGACCACGCCCAACCAGCGATCGACAGACCCAACTACCTGGAGGAGCCGACCTCGGAGCCGCAGACGAGGCAGCACTGCCACCAGCACCATCAAGCACACCAGGAGCCAATTCATCTTCTTGCGCTGGGGCTGAGGGCACGGGATCCGGCAACTGCGTTGCCGGTCCGTGGCTGAGAGCCAGTGCAGCGATTGGCGCGGCGCTGGGACGGGCAGCGCCACGAGTTGCTGATGGCGTCGTAGGCAATCCAACGCCCGCAGACTGGATTCGCTTTGACATCGCCAAGTCACTACGAGCACTACGCGGCGACTTGCACGAGACACGAATGCGAGAGGCACGCAAGCTACATCTCCGGTGGCGGCACGCCACCAAGGAGGAGATGGCACGAGCTCTGCGCGCAGCGGCTGCGCCGCAGCCAGCATGCCGCAGGCAATCCTGACCTCATCCCAACTGGCAAAGAACTGTCGTGAACGCCGTAATTGGCTACCACCACCTCGCCAAGCCATTCCCACACTACGCCTTTCGACGTGATTCAACCAGCTCGTTGAATGCGACATCTTTGCATATAGAGATCGCATGATACTGCCCCTGATCTGTCGCGCCTCGCGGTGGCGCAACGGCCAGGAGATCACGGACAGATGCGACTCAACGATGCCGGCAGCAGTCGCCAGGTCCTGGGGCCAGCTATTTGGATGAATGGTTACCTAGACGGTGAACGGCGAAGGCGGGGTGACCTCCAAGTACTTCGTAGAGCAGATGAGGAGGAGAGAAGCCCAAGGGGACATTCGTGCCCCACGCCAGCCAGCATCGCTGGCTTACAAATTCTGAAATCCTTCCCCATACGTGCCTCGATCTTCAAAGTCTGGCCCTTGTACGCAACTGGGACAGTGTAAGACAGGGCGCCATGCGGGACACCTGGTGGCAAGGCCTCTTCTGGACAGTTGCGGATGAAGTCCGAGATCGTTTTCTTGAAGGTCTCAGGGTCCGTAAGCCGCCTGGCGAAATCATTTTCAATTCCGTGCAGCAGTCCTACTTGCATAAATATATACATAGTTACGAGCCCCCAGCCCTTGCATTCCAGTTGCGCTTCCGACGCCAATAGTCAATACAGAACCTCTGGCGCTCGCGTCTCGTTGCGTGCTTCAATTTCTTGCCCTCGAGGCTGTACCGAAATCGAAGGTCACGCCCCTGCATCTCGCCAGTCAGACCTCGAGGTCGCGGCGGATCGAGCCTAGGATCCTATGGGGAGACCGGCGGGCGAGGAGGGGGAGGAGAAGGGGGGGGGGAATGGGAAGTGGGATTGAGGAGGACGAGGAGGACGCAGGCAACTGAAAGCACACCGTTTCGAGGGCAGGCTGATATATCTATTGAGGGCAAGAAAAGATGAGCCGATGCCTCGACCCGATTGTCTGCCTGGGCTCCTTCTGCTTCGGCTCGGCCTTCGCCTTGGCCTTGGCCTTGCCCTTGGGCTTGGGCTTGACCTCGGCCCCGGTGCTCGCCTCCCGGAGATCACACTCGGGCTTGGCGGTCTTCTCCCCCGTGGCAGACGTGAGCTCCGAGGCCCGCCAGCGTCCCTGACAGGGGCATCTGAGGCGAACCCGCGCATCAAGCCCGAGGATGCGAGATCAGGCTCGTCTACCGCCGCCGCCGCGGTCAGGATCGCTTAGGGGGTCGGAGTTCGCGCCGTGCATGCGCCCGGGAACTCGACGGGTGGAGATCGAAGGACAAGCAACGCGCCCGGAGCTCCTCGACGGCGGGGGCGGCGGCAGCACCCCGGCCTGCTCCGCGCGCAACCACGGGGTGGAGCGGCTTCCCCTCGGACGCGGCAGCCAGGAGAGCACTTGCCTCGGAGCAATCCCTTCTCTGGAGGTCGGAAAGGGGTGTGGCATAAAGGGGCATGGTGCCAATCGTGGAAATGGCGATGCAATCTGCGATAAGTAACACTGCCAGAGTCCCCTTCACATCAAATTAACAGCATACCCCTTTTATACCATACCCCTTTCCTACCTCCAGACCTTCTCCTCTTCATGGCTACCGCCCTAGCCTCCCTCCTCCTCCTCCTCCTCCTCCTCCTCCTCTTCTTCCCCTCCTCCTCCTCCTCCTCCTCTCCCTCCTCCTTCTCCTCCTCCTCCTCCTCCTCCTCCTTCTCCTCCTCCCCCCTCCCTCCCCCCTCTCCTCCTCCGTCCTCCTCCTCCACCTCCACCAACTTCATGATGTCCGTTCCTCCCTCCTCCGTTCCCTCCCCCGTCCTTCCCTTCGCCCTCGGGCGCGCCTGCAGTCGGCGGCTTCTTCGGCGCGGGGATCGCGACCTTAATCTTCTCAGGAGTCTCGATGGGCGTGTCTGTGTCCGACTCGATCTCGATCACCGTTCGGGGGCTGAGATCCACGACGACGCCGGCGGGCAGGTGGTGCCGGCGATCATGGGCAGGGCAGCGTCGCGCAAGATCTCCTCTGGAGTCCGCGGCGCTTCCTCCGCCTCCACCGCCGCCTCTCCGCCACCTCTCCGCGGCCTCCTCCGCAAAGTGGACCCCTCCACCTCTCCTCGCAAGCTCGTCGGAGACCTCATCCTCCTCCGCCCCTGACGTCCGATCGCCACCCCCTCCTCCGTTCCTCGCTGGCGCCAGGGTTGCGGGACTTCGGCTCGGCAACCAGCTCGGCGACGATGTCCTCGTCGCACAGGTCCCGGGGCCCCCGATCGGAACGGGCGCGAGGGGGTTGGGGATGAGGGGTGGAAAACAGAATTCCTGGCCCCCGGTCCTCGGGGAGCGTAGCCGTTGGTAGCTGGGGGCTGGGGCCGCCCCTACGACCCTAACCCCTTAGACCCTAGCTCGAGGACCGCGCCCCGAACCCTGAGGCCCTGACCTTAAGGCCCTAAAACTTCAGACCAGGATCCCCCCTAAAGCCCCAGCCCTAAAGCCATGGCCCTGCGCATGCCCTAACACTTACGCCCTACCCTGATACCTATAGTTATCTTCTCCTTCCCTCATCCTCCTGACCCTCCACGCCCTCTCTCCTTATTCTCTCTCCCCACCCTCCCCTTCCTCTCATCGCCCTCCCACAGTTCACGCATTCGGGTCGTCTCGCTCGTCGAGTCTGGCGGCGCAGCAGCCGTCTCGGCCATCACGATCTTGCTCTGAGTGTCTGGCGGCGCCGCAGCGCGCGCGTCGGCCAGCGCGATCTCGCTCTGAGAGTCTGGCGGCGCAGCAGCCGCGTCGGCCAGCGCGATCTCGCTCTGAGAGTCTGGCGGCGCAGCAGCACGCGTGTCGGCCAGCGTGGTCTCGCTCGAGGAGTCTGGCGGCGCAGCAGCCGTGTCGGCCAGCACGATCTCGCTCTGATGGGAATCTGGCGGCAGCACGATCTCGCGCTGAGAGTCTGGCGGCGCAGCAGCCGTGTCATCGGCCAGCACGATCTCGCCCTGATGAGAGTCTGGCGGCGCAGCAGAGCGCGCGTCGGCCAGCGCGATCTCGCTCTGAGAGTCTGGCGGCGCAGCAGCAGCAGCCTCCTGTTGGATCCGATGGTGGCCCAACCCACCCTCGCCCCCAGCCGCCGCTGGACTGGGCGGGGGGGGGGGTGGCGGGGGCCTCGAGGAGGGCGAGGGAGAGGAGTGAAGAGGAGGACGAGCTCACGAAGAAAAGTGGGACTCCACAATCTGCGCCCCCAGCATCCTTTTGCTGGGCGCGCCGAAAGAACAGCGACGCGGGGTATCCCAGGCGCGCCCGCGCTTTAACGAGGGCGATCGAGTCGCGCGTGCTTACCTCGCCAGACGGGTTTTCCGAGGGGCGACAATATCTCATAAAGGAGGACGATGGGGGGGGAGGCGGGACAAGGGGGACGATGATGGATCGGGGATGATGACGACGATGATGATAATGAGGAGGAGGAGGAGGAGGAGGAGGAGGAGGAGGAGGAGGAGGAGGAGGAGGGGGAGGAAGAGGAGGAGGAGAAGGAGGAGGAGGGGAAGAGGAGGAGGAGGAGGAGGAGGAGGAGGAGGAGGAGGGGAAGAGGAGGAGGAGGAGGAGGAGGAGGAGGAGGAGGAGAGGCAGATGAGAAGGGGGAGGGCACCTCGGCCGTAGGGATGCCGGCTTCGTCGAAGGCCATGTCCCATCTCAGGCCCTCCATCTCTATCTCCACCTCCTCCAGCCTCCTCGTCAGATACTCCAGAGCCCCACTGGGCGCCCTCGCGCACTCCTGGGGCCCAAAGGTGGAGATCTGACGAGCGAGCTGGAAGATGAGGAGCCTGGTCAGTAGAAGGCTCCCAGTTACTGCAACTGTATGAAAGAGGTGTGGTCAGTAGAACCCCTGCCTTGCCCTGTCTTCTGCTGTAGCTGTTAAGTCAGTTCGTGGTGTCTTGTCGTTGGACGGGACGGTTTGCGTCCGGGCTGCCAACGAGGCACGACGGACCCGCTTGAGCACCAGATTCGAACGGTAGGTTATCAGTGCAGGATGGGTGCGGGAAGGTCGTTCCCTTTGTTGCCCTTCTGGTTCAAAGTACCTTTCCGTGCCCGCTATAATACTCTCCTTTACACCGCTTTGCACCCTCCCGTTGAAGAGCATCGTGTTCCTTGCTCTACAGTTTGGTCTCCTCCTTGTAATCCTCCTCTGCCGGGCGTGCCGATCCCACCCTTGGCGGCCCGGGCGCACCCGAGGCCGCAGAGGGCTTCCACGCCCCGACGGCCAAGGCCAGGGCGCGGAAAGTCCTGGTGCCGACGGCCAAGGCTCCCCACCCCCCCGCCCCCTTCCCAACCGCTCCGCCGACGCCTTCTCCCGCTCCTCGCGTCGAAGGAGGAGGAAGAGCTGCCGATGCCGCCGCTCGTCCCGGAGAGCTCTCGTCGCCACGGCAGGGTGCTCCTCGATGTGTTGGACAGGACGCATCTCCGGAGAGGCCCGGGGAGTGGCAGCATCGGTCCGCTTTGCCGCCCCATGGCTGACATCTTCGTCCTCCTCTTGTTCCTCTTCCTCCTCGAGTTCGGCCTCCTCTTCCTGGTTCTGTTCCTCTTTCTTGTCGGCGCCACCGACGAAAGACCCGCAGCCGTGACAGGCTTGTCACACCCCCTCTACCATTTGCTGCTTGCGAAAGAGGGTGGAGCGAGGAGTGCCCGAACAGAGCGATGTCGTCCCACCCCCAACCCCACCAACCCCGCCTGCTCCCCCACTTGGCCCCGCGCGGAGGGAAGGGCCCTTGAGGCGTTGCCCTGACCCTTCCTCCAGCTGCTCATCCTCGTCCTCCTCCTGGGTCTCCTTGTCCCTCTCCTGCGCCGCCTACGCATCTTCCTCCTCCTCCTCCTCCTCCTCCTCCTCCTCCTCCTCTCCCATTTCCTCCTCCTCCGCCTCTACCTCTTCCTCCTCCTTCTCCCCCTCCTCCTCCTCCTTCTCCTTCTCCTCCTCCTTCTCCTCCTCCTCCTCCTCTCCCATTTCCTCCTGCTCCTCCTCCTCTTCCTTCTCCTTCTCCCTCTCCTCCTCCTCCTCCTCCTTCTCCTCCCTTTTCTCCTCCTCCTCCTCCTCTTCCTCCTCCTCCTCCTCCTCCTCCTCCTCCTCCTACACCTCCTCCTCCGTTTTCCTCCTTCTCCTCTTCCTCTTCATCCTCCTCCTCCTCCTCCTCCTCCTCCTCCTCCTTCTCGTCCTCCTCCTCCTCCTCCTCCTCCTCCTACTCCTCCTCCTCCTCCGCCTCCTCCTCCTCCTCCTCTACCTCCTCTGGCTCGATCGGGGTCGGTCGGGGGTCTCTCCTCACGCAGCGTTGGTCATGACCGCTGCTGGGCGTCGCAGGGGGCGTCGCTGTCTCACCGCGGCACCGGCCTTGCTCCACGAGGGTGCGGCCCCGGCAGAAGCGGTGCTCGAGCAGCTGGTCTGGCAGCGCTCCCAACGAGCTTGTCGCGGAGAGCTCGCAGATGCGCCCACTGCTGCCGCATGGAGTCCGCGCTGGGGCACGGCGCAACGGCGGCCCGCCAGAGACGCTATTTGGGTGAGGCTGTCGCTGCAGATGCTGATGCAGGAGATTGTTTTGGTAAGGGTCCGGCGGTAAGCCAGGTTATCGGGCCCGCCCCCCCTCCCCCCTCCCTGGATATCTCGACCTTGTCGGTTGCACAGGTTCGAAGGGGCGGGGCAGTTCTGATTCGCGCGGGCATGCATGAGGCGAGGCGTGCTGCAGTTGCAAATGCAGGAGGGTTTTTTGTTAAGGGACAGGTGATGAGCGAGGTCATCGGGCCCGCCCCCCCTCCCCCCATCCCTGGATGACTTGACCTTGCCGGTTGCACGGGCCTGAAGGGGCGGGGCAGTACTGATTCGCGCGGGCATGCGCGGGGCTGCCCAAAGCGATAAGGGGAGGTTGTCACCCCCTTCCCTGCCCCGCGGATTTGGAATAGATGCCAGTCCCCCGGCCATCATGTTTTGAAATGTGTGTGTGTATCGCCTGCATTCGCCCGTCTGCATTCGCAGCATGTCCTCGTCGGTTGCATCTGACTCGTCCCCCGGTGTCCTGTCCGTTCCCTCTTTGTCTGTTCAAGTGTGCGAGTGCATACATGAATAGACATCTGTATACGATACGTGTGTGTCTCCCCTCTTCCCTCCCTCTCTCTCTCTCTCTCTCTTTCTCTTCCTTTGTGTCTCCCTCTCTCTATGTGTCTGTGTACCTCTCTCTCTCGCTCTCTCTCTCTCTCTCTCCGTCTCTCTGCTTATCTCTCTCCCTCTCGTATGTTTTTATGTCTCTCCCTCTCGCTGCACCTCGTCGTTTCTCTCTCTCTCTCTGTCTCTCTGCTCTCCCTCTCCTTTCCTCTCTCTCTCTCTCTCTCCCTCATTCTCTCTCTCTCTCTCTCGCTCTCTCTCTGTTTCTCTCTCTCTCTCTGTATTATATATACACACATGTCCACCCTGTTTCTCTCTCTTTCTCTTTCTCTGTATTGCATATCTTCTCTTCCTTCTCTCTCTCTCTCTCTGTTTCTTTTCACGTGCTCCTCGCTCTATCTGCCCCTGCCTTGCAGGGGCAGCCACGGCCGCGCGGGACCATCGAGAAGTTCCTGTAGCGCCCGCGCCCGCGGACGGCGAGCAGACCTGCCCGAGCTGGCACGCTCTGGCCAGAGCTTGCCCGACCCGCCGCGTCGTGAGAGAAGTCGTGCGCGGTGCGTTTCGCCCCCCCAGGGAAGCCGAAAGGGGGAAGGATGCCGAGGGGGAGAGGGGAAGGCAGAGGAGGGGCGCGGAGGCAGAGGAGGCAGAGCAGGAGGAGGAGCAGCAGGAGGAAGAGCGAGGTCCGGGCCTCGGGGCCCTCGCAGATGGGCGCGGCTCGGATCGGGCGGCCCGGCACCCAACGCAGGGTCGGCCAGCGCGGTCGGGATCGGCGCCCAGCCAGTCATAGCAAGGGGGACTGAGCCGCACGAGCGAGCCAGAGGCCGCAGTCAAGGTTCCCTTGATGACTCCAGGAGCCCAGGGTGGGCGCAAGAGGCCCTTTCCATTATCTTGCGCATCTGGGTCTCCACCACATCGTCGCAGTTCTCTGGGCAACCCCGAAATGTTCCATGTAAGCCGGGTCTGGTGGCAGACAGTCAATCCGTAAGGGCTTCGCCCCCTGCCGCCGGCCCCCCTCTCTTAGAATGGGACTTGCCGGAGCTGTGTTGGGATGTCTGGACGCTGACGTGAAGCAATGTCGGGAATTCACGCGAGGGCCAATATCTCACTGTACGGCTTGCACTGCAAACTTGAAGAATTGCGTTCGAAATCTGACGGTTCGCACCACGAACCTGCTGACGATCGTGAGGGTTTGTGGCCTCGGAGGCGCAAATATTATGTAAGTTACGTGGGTGTATGTCCTCGGGGCGCAACTATTGCATAATTTACTAGGGCTCACGGCTTCGGGGACGCAAACATTGCGTAGTTTACGATTGTTTATGGCTTCGGGGACGCAAGCATTTAGTAATTTACGAGTGGTTATGGCTTCGGGACGCGAATGTTGCATAGCTTATTATTGCTTATGGCCTCAGGGACGCGAATAGTGCGTGACTTACGAGAGTTTATGGCCTCGGGCATCGTGGCTTCGGAGGCTGCGGGCCCACCGCCAGATTTCCAGAAACAGCGGGGAGTCCCAAAAGCGCCCCTCGACCACATATTCCAATACAGAAATTGTTTTTTTTGTTCTGCTCTGGAGAGGGTCTGGTGGCGCTATTGGGCAGCCTCCGCGAGGTGGACTCGTGGCCACGTGTACCCGAATCAATGTACGAAGGCTTATAGCCTTGGGTCGCGAATATTGCATATCTACGCGGGTTTGCGGCCTCGGGGGCGCAACTCTTTTAATAATCTTCCCAAGTTTACGGCGTCCGGGACGCAAATAGCGTCGAGGACGCAAACATTGCTTGATTTACGATTGTTTATGGCCTCGGGGGGGAACATCGCGTAATTTACGAGTGATTATGGCTTCGGGACGCGAGTATCGCATAACTTATGATTGTTTATGGCATGGGGGACGCGAATATGGCGTAATCTCCTGGAGATTATGGCCTCGGGGACGCGAATATCATGTACTGTATTGTTACGTGTCCCACGCCCCCCCAGGAATTCAGAGCACGCGATTCGCTGATGCTAACTAGGACGCTTTTCGGCTCCCCCCCCTCGAGCGGACAGCAACAGTTAAACGTAAGGAAGTAGACAGCAGGCCTGTAACAGTGGAAACTGGAAACTGCAACTGGAACAGGGATCATGAAAGCCTGATCTTCGCAGCCTGGTGGCCCCGCAAGGGTGCCGGCGGATTAGCACTGAACTATCTTACGGGCGCTTGCGAAAGTGATGGCGCACGCTCCAGCGAAGGAGTTGACGCGCGTGGCATGGAGCGCTTTGTCCCCCATCTGTTCCCATATGTCTGGGACACAAGCCCTAGGATCCCCGGCGATCCTAGGGTTCGTGTCCCCGGCGCCCGCGCGCAGCGAAGGGAGCCGGGGTGGCCTCTGACCCCCGAGGCGCAGAGAGTTGCCGCGGCGCCCCACGGGCGGCGCTGCCGCGGCCCCCCGGGGGGCTCGCGTGCGGAGCGCTGCACGGCGGGCGCTCCGCCGCGCCCCGCCCATCCGAGGCGGTTGCCCGGACCGTTCGCCTCAGAGAGGTGCACCTGCGGGCAGTATTTCTGTCCATGCCAATGCAGTATGGAGTTTCGGGCTCTCTCCCACAGAACCCCGAGGCGCACTGGATCTGGATGAATTTACCCCCCGAGGCTCGATCTTTATCCACATCCGGTGCGCCTCGGCCTTGTGGCGCCCCTTCCAAGAAAGTGCAAGACGCACTGGATATGGATGCAGATCTTTCCCGCAAGGTGGGGAGGGGGCGGTGTGAGGGGCGACGCCAGGGGGACGCATCGATCCCCCAATCGCGGACTCGTCGCCGACGGGTGCGCGCTGGCCCACCGCGCCAAGGGCCATGGGGATTCGCTATCGGGGGCCCAGCGGCGATACATCGCCGATATCATGCCGATGTTCCCCCCCCCCCAGAGCCAGTCCACTCCCTACACGCTGGTGGTTGAAAGTCGGTATTTCTGGATTCCCAGATCCCCATCTACGTCAAGCGCCTTCCTACTTCAAGTGTCGATCTGACTTTGCTGTGCTTTGCCATGATATTGGAAGGCCCGGGCCCAATCTACTTTATCCGTCTTCCTACTTCGTATGTTTACTCATGTCTTCCGACCGAAGTGTATCGCTGACCCTCGGGCACGGGGAAAGGGGGGGGCGGGGGGGCAAAGGGGCAGAGGAGGAGAGGGGAGGAAATGGACGGGGGACGGGTCGTAGATCAATCGGGGTGGGAGTCAGGGGGGTGGGATGAGTGGGGGAGGAAAGAGGGCGAGAGGGATGAGAGGCAAGGAGGAGGAGGAGGAGGAGGAGGAGGAGGACAAGACAAGACAAGAACCGCTGCGAGCCCTGGTCTGTTTGGTCTGCTGTCAGCTGGGGCGGATGCCTGTGAAGCGCCTGCTTGCAGAGCCCCACAGCGTGGGATTCACGAGGGGTCACCGACGAAGCGAGAGCGAACGCACGGGCCAGGGGACCCCGCGCAGGGCCGAGGGACCGACGGGCGAGCCGAGGGGCCGAGGGCCGCGAAGGAGAAGGGCCAGAGGTTGGAGGGCAATGGGGGGAGGAAGGAGGGCGAGAGGAGGAGGGCGGGGGGGGGGAGGAATGAGAGGGGGATGCAGGGCGAGGGGGGGCAGGGGGGGGGGAAGCGAGGCGCAGCTTGGCACACCCGCGCGACCGCACAGACGATACGCACCGCCAGCACGGTGGCCCGCAGCCGCTCTGCGCCGAGCCCGGGCCGGAGTCACGCACAGCAGGCTGCGCTCGGGCGCGGGCGCCGCAGAGGCCGGCGGCGGCGCGGTGCGGGCAGGGATGGGAGGGAGGAGGCGGGCAGGGTTGGTGCAGCCCCGGAGGAGCTATTGTCGACCCCCCCAGTCCGGTGAAGCCGTATTGCTTCTCGCCCCCATGGGGGTGGCACTGCGCCCCCGGGCCCTGCAGCGCGGGACCCCACCAAGATCTGACCTCTGGTGGTTCGATGGTTCTCCTGGCCAAGGTTGCGCGGCGTCGATGAGAACCCCAGCAGGATTTGTCTTGTGCCCCTTTTACTCCCATCGCCCCCTCCCCCCCCGCCCGCGGAATTGTCTAAATACTTGATTCGTTTCGGTGCTGAATGGTATCGGTCGGCGGTGCCCAACTCTCGGAGACGGATTACTCTGAAAGGCATGTGGAAACCTAGTGGGAACGCTGGAGGGGGGCTCGAGCATTCCATCTCGTGGTTGCATAGCCACTGCGTCTCGGAGTTTCGTGCTGCCCCCCCTTCGAAAACCCGAGACGCACTGGATGTGGATGAAATCGGGCCTGTGTCGAGGCGAGGCTGTCGACCATACCCACGCCGTGCCGGGTGTTCGGCATCATTTTCCCAAAAAAACAGACGACGTGGATATGGATAATGTCTTGCCCGCGACGGAGGTGACAGGGCGACAAGTGTCCAGGCGAGGAGGGGGCCAGTGGCAGGACGTGGAGCGGGTGCACGAGATGAGCAGGAGCAGGGGCAGGAGGACTGGCGGCACTGCGGTGCGGCTAAAGTCAGGAGGGAAAGAAACACACAGACACAATTAATCGTCGACTCCCAGGAAAATATGGGAAAATATGGGAAGTGGGGGGGAAGACAGAAACCCAGAAAATATGGGAAAATATGGGGAGTCCTGTTATTTGTGTGTATTTATTTGTGTGTCCCAGTTCCCCTTCATAAAGCCAAGTAAGGTGCGAGGCAGATGATGATGATGCGGATTGGGGAAACGTAAGACTCGGCTTCGCCGGAGCTCGGGTCAGCCCAAGGTTACTTGACGGGCCCGTCTTAGATTCTGGCGGTGCAGTTCAGAGATTGGGTCTCGTCATTTTCCTGACGGCCCCGTCAGGCCAACCCCAGTGCCACGAGCACGAGTCTTACGTCTCCCCGAGGGGAGGGAGTGGGTGCGCGGAGGGTGAGCAGCAGGAGGAGTTCCAGATCTTGCCGAGGTGTGTCGATCTTTCGATCCTCCCGCGGGCCTGCTTTTGACCAGGGTGCTGTTGGTGTTGTCAGTCACGCTTGCAGGGCAGCATTCGGCCAATCTTGCCCCGCGCCCTGCGGGGTGATCTCATCCCTCCTTCACGTTGCGATTACAAGGCGTAGCAGCAGCAGGAACAGTATGAACAGGAGCAGGAAGAATGGGAAGAACATGAGAAGCAGAACGGACATGCAGGCAGAGAAGTAGAGTCAGGAAAAGGGGGCGAAGGCGGAGGAGGAGGAGGAGGAGGACGACGACGATAAGGAGGACGACGACTTCGGCGGCGACGGCGACGGCGACCCGCAGCGAAACGACGAATAGACAAATGGGATGACGACGACGATGACGACGACGACGACGATCATCAAGGACGACGGCGTAAGGCGTTTCAGCAGGTGCGTAAAACCGTCCCCTCCCCAGGAGTCACTCTGCGTTGCGTCCTTTAGATTCGGGTGTGGCCTGATTTTGTTCCCCACATGTTTCGTGGGGTTCTGGTTTTCATGCCTGCCGCGTCGCACCCGCGACCCTCACTCGCCTCCCCTCCTCTTCCTTCTCCTTCTCACACAGCGCAGCTCAGCACAGCACAGCACTGCTCAGCACAGCACAGGACAGCACAGCACAGCTCAGCACGACGGTCGTCCAGGGCAGGCGTGGGGTTTTGTCGACACCATAGGAGGTGCGCATGGGGGTGGTCCCTGAGGACGGCGTCTATGCGGGCCATGGCGCAGGGCATGGCAGGCGCAGCACTTTCTCGACACCACAGGGGGTGCGCAGGGAGTGGTCCCCGAGCGCGGCGTCTATGCGGGCCATGGCGCAGGGCATAGCAGGCGTGGCCGCATCCCGACACCATAGGAGGTGCGCAGGGGGTGGTCCCCGAGCGCGGCGTCTATGCGGGCCATGGCGCAGGGAACAGCAGGCGTGGCACTTTCTCGACCCCATAGAGGGTGCGCACGGGGTGGTCCCCGAGCGCGGCCTCTATGCGGGCCATGGCGCAGGGCATAGCAAGCGTGGCACTTTCTCGACGCCAGACGGGGTGCGCAGGGAGTGGTCCCCAAGCGCGGCGTCTACGCGGGCCATGGCGCAGGGAACAGCAGGCGTGGCATTTTCTCGACACCATAGGGGGTGCGCAGGGAGTGGTCCCCGAGCGCGGCGTCTATGCGGGCCATGGCGCAGAGCATAGCAAGCGTGGCACTTTCTCGACGCCAGAGGGGTGCGCCGGGAGTGGTCCCCGAGCGCGGCCGCTATCCGCGCCGGTCGTCCAGGGCATAGCAGGAGTGGCACTTTCCCGACACCGTAGGGGGTGTGCAGGGGGTGGTCCCCGAGCGCGGCCGCTATCCGTGCCAGCCGTCCAGGGCATAGCAGGAGTGGCACTTTCCCGACACCATAGGGGGTGCGCGGGGGGTGGTCCCTGAGCGCGGTCGCTATCCGTGCCGATCATCCAGGGCGCTGCTGTCCGTGATGGTCGTCCAGGGCATAGCAGGCATGGCAGATTTCCGACACGACCTGGGGTGCGCACGGGGTGGTCCTTGAGCGCGGCCTCTATCCGTGACGGTGGTGCTCAGGGCACATCGGTACGCAAGTTTGCTATCCGTGCCGGTCGTGCTCAGGGCACAGGGGAACGCTGGCGGAGCAGGCGTGGCATATTCTCATAGCCTTAGGGGCTCCGCAGGTGGTGGCTCTGAGCGCGGCCGCTATCCGAGCTGGTCGTCCAGGGCGCAACAGGCGTGGCACCTTCTCGCCACCATAGGGGTGCGGAGTTGATGGCCACCAACATCATTCGCACATGCTTCACTCCAGCTAGCATCACTCCAGCCAAAATGTAAAGATGTGGGGTTCCTCGGTCGCGTATTTTTGTTGCGCGAAGTGCTTCTGGCTGGCTGGTCGCGCTCGTGAGGCGGCCGGGCGCCGAGTGCGCAGCCAGTGGCGCAACCAATAGTATTCTGGCCGTTTCATGTTCGGCGGCCGGAAAAAAAACGCCTGAGCTTTGCCCTCTCTTGGCCTTGACGTGAGGCCCCTCCTTCTGCCTTCCCCCCTCTGTTAATCAACGCTGTGCGCGGCCCGCTTGGCTTCGACCGGAAGAGGTGCGCTCTCGACCCGCGGATCAAAAAAGTTCGGCGGCCGGATGCGCAGCTTACCGCGCATCCGAGAGTAGGCAGTTTCGCGTTCGGCCGCCGAGAGCGCAACATGTGGCGCAGCAGATAGCGGGCAGTTGTTGTTCGGACACCGAGTGCGCAAGCCATGGATCAACCAAGGACAGGCCACTTTACATTCGGTGCCGAGGGCGCAGACTTGTGTGCAGCCAATGGCACGCCCTTTCATCCTCGGCCGCTGGGCGCGCGATGTATTGCGCAACTCCGAGCGCATGGCATGGTTTATGCTCGGCCGCCGACTGCGCAGCGCGCAAACACATGCCATTATGTGCTCGGCTGCCGAGTGCGCAACCTGTGACACAACCAATAGGGGTCTGCTTGTAGCTCCCGCAGCCACAGGCGCCATGTGTTGCGCAACCAGAAGCAGGTCGTGTTCTGTTCGGCACCCGGCAGCGCAACCTATGGCGGGGCCCATGGCCCGCCCCAGTGGTACCATTCACGGCGCAACCTCTGGATGGCGAAGCCAATGCCGCACCCCGAGGATTGCGCAACCGGCAGCGCAACCCATGGGTGGCTTAGTTGCCTCGATACGCTCGTTTTGAAACGCAATACGTCCCGTGTTCAAGACGTCCGTGTCAATACGTTGCGCGTTGGCTCCACGTATTGGGCCACGTTTTGGCGAATGTATCGCGTCGGACCTACGTTTTTAGCCTACGTGTTGAGCTCCGTATCGATACGTGTTGCGTCTCGGGGCAACTTAGATGGGTGGCGCAGCCAACGGCGCGACCCATGGGTGGCGCAGCCTACGGCGCGACCCATGGGCGCAGACCATGGGTGGCGCACCTCCTGGCAGGGTTCTGCGGGGGCGGCGCCCGACGTGTGCCTGCCGCCGGGGCCGGCGGGGGAGCCCCAGCTGCGAGCTGTCCTGTGTGAGCCTACACTCAGGAGGGAAAGAAACACACAGACACAATTGATCGGCGATCCCCCAGAAAATATGGGAAAATATGGGAAGTGGGGGGGAAGACAGAAACCCAGGAAATATTGGAACATATGGGGAATATTTTTACTTGTGTGTATTTATGTGTGTGTTTGTGGGTCCCTTCACTGTGATCCTGCACTGCTCTGCGCGCAGCTCGGTCCGCAGGGGGACTGCGTCCGGGGCGGGCCCGCCGCCCCGCGGAGGGCCCTCCACGGGGCGCGGCGGCTGGAGCGCGCCCCTGGCCCCGTGCCCGAAAGCGTGAAGCCGGCAGAGGAGGAGGGGGAGGAGGGGGAGGGGGAGGAGGGCAAGTTAGGTGCGCTCGCGTCATATCTGACATCCTACCCCTCCCTCCCATCCCTTACCATGGCGTAGATCCCCTCTCTGCTCGCACAGTCGGATGTCGAGCAGGGCAATGATCCCGAAAGGGTGCGCGATGCATTGTAGAGCACGGCATGGCATGGCGTAGAAGAGCACCGCAAAGCGTAGCATCAACCTAGCATTGCATTGCATGCCGTGGCATGGCACGGGAAATGACACCAGCGCTGCAGCGGGAGCACGAGTCGAAACGAGCGGAAGCGCGGAAATGAGGCCAGCGCTGCAGCGGGAGCACGATTCGGAACGAGCGGAAGCACGGAAATGAGGCCAGCGCTGCAGCGGGAGCACGATTCGGAACGAGCGGGGCCCGAAAATGAGGCCGGCGCCTCAGCGAGAGCAGCATTTTGGAAAAAATGCAGGCGAAAACCCAACTCCGGGGAATCCTGTGTGTAAAAAAACAGTACGCGGGGGGGGGGGGCTAACACTTTCAAGCCGTCATCAGGGGAAGAGGGAGAGTAGTATATTCATATTGAGTAATTGTGGAGGAGGGCGGAGGAGGAGAGGAGGAGGAGGGGAGGAGGAGGAGGAGGGAGGAGGAGGAGGAGGAGGAGGAGGAGGAGGAGGAGGAGACGAGGAGACGAGGAGACGAGGAGGACGAGGAGGAGAAGGACAAGTGTGGGAGGATGAGCCTGGGGAGGAGAGAGGAGGGGCGCGGGTACGAAGCAGGAGGAGAGGAAGTACCTAGAGGGAGGAGGGTGGCGCAGGGCACGGGCAGGGGAGGGGGAGGGGATGGAAGAAGATGGGGGAGGACGAGGTAGGTGATTTTGTTGATGAGTGCACGTCATCGGCATGCCGGCAAGGGGTTTCGGGCCCCGTGCAAGTGCGAGCCGCTTGTGTGCCCAGCACTGATTTGCAAACCCTGTCAATGAACCAATGCGAGCTGCCAATTGACAGCGTTGGCCTGCGATGTCATCTGGGGGCTCTGGCCCAGCCGCCGCCCTCCTTAGACAGTGGCCGTCGGAGATTGATAGACCTCCTACCCTGACACGTCGATTAGTGAATTGGCCGTTTTCGGTTCGCGAGAGGGCGTCGCGGCCGTCATTTTTGCGGATCCAGGTCCGTCGGTTTCGGTCCCAGGCCGTTTTCATTCAAGGGAGGTTTGCTAAAGGGAGGTTTGTCCACCGCCGAGGCCGCGCTTCAGCCATCGCCCACTGCACTCGGGGGAGGACCCTCGAAGAAGAAGAAGAAGAAGAAGAGCAACAACAAGCGGCATAGCACACAAACTGCTGGTGTTCCGCGCGGGTTCCTTGGATCGGCGGTGGGCCCCCCTGGCGGCGCCTTCGGCGCCGCCCTTCTGGCGCCCTCCGCGCGCCGGGAAGGACGGCCCTGCGCCGAACCGAGAGGTCCGCGCGGACCTCCGAGAGGTTGTGTGTGTGTGTGTGTGTGTGTGTGCGTGTGTGTGTGTGTGTGTGTGTGTGTTGCAGCTCTTGCCCTGATCACAGGAGGGGCCCACGCCCTGCTCCCCCCCCTTCCACTACCCAACGGGCGAAGAACGGCATAACGTACAGTCGGGGCGCTGAAGAAGGAACCCTTTTCGCTGGGGAGGGGCTCGGCGTTCCTTGATTGTTTCAAAGTTTGCATCGGGTTTTCCTTGGGTGTTCCATAGGAAATCGAGGTTGAACTTATGGGAAAAAGGGGCCTCGTTCCTCATTTAGGGTTCCTTAGGTCAATGCTCCGACGGTATTCTTTTTCGCTGTCGGGGGCGCCTGTCCCAGGGCGGCTGGAAAGTTTACACCCTTACCATGGCACGTCAAGGTATACACTTTCCAGCCGCCCAGGGGCAGGTGTCCCCGACGGCGGGAAAGTTTCTTTGATACCGCTCTTCGCCCGCTGATTTCCCCCCCCCTCACCTTCCACTACGCCGCCCCACTCGTCCCAAGCGGAGGCCATGAGCTTCGGCGTCTACAGGCCTGCGATGGGCGTGGCATCTGGCTGCCGCGACATGACCCCGGACAGGGGGCTGCAGGTCCGCGAACGCTTGAGTGAGGGAAGGAGGAGGAGGAGAAATAGGAGGAGGAGGAGGAGGAGGAGGACGTAGTCGACGACGGCGACGACGACGACGACGAACAAGACCTCTGGCGCCCAAGGGACCGTTCAGTCAGTGGTATATCGAAGACGCCTACGGCGAATCACCGCCGCCCCCTGCCTTTGTGGAAGCGCCTATGTGGCCGAACGTTGAGGCCAGACCTGCCAAGCCATCGGACCATGTGTTCCCCGAATCGGTTTGGAAAGCCTTCGGGGAACACGTGGGCGTCTTGATGGTCATCGTCGTCGTCTTGGAGGCCTCTTGGGCGATCTTTCGGCGATCTTTGGGGGCTCTTGGGCCGTCTCGGGCCGTCGGAAGGCCGAAAGAAGGGAAATGCCCAAATCCATCAAAAACCTTGGGAAAATCAAACCTTGGGAAAATCTGGCATCTTTTGGCCTTCCTGGAGGCCCTCTTGGGGGCCTCTTGGGCCCTTTTGGGCCAGCTTCGAGCCAACTTCGGCCATCTTGGTGGGTTCCTGGCACGTCTGACGCCGTCGGGAGCCGTTTTGGGGGCCTGTCTGGGCCAACGGGGGACCCTCTTGGGGCGCTCCAGGGCCGTCTTGGAGGCCATCTTGGGCGTCTTGGAGGCCATCTTGGGCGTGTTGGAGGCCTCTTGGGCCGTCTTGGGGCCCTCTAGGGGCCATCTTGGAGGCCACTTGGGCCATCAGGGGGCTCTCTTGGGGGCCTCTTGGGCGATCTTGGGGGCTTCTTGGGCCGTCTTGAGCCGTCGGAGAGCCGAAAAGGCGCAAATGCCAAAATCCTTCAAAAACCAATGGAAAATCAATGATTTTGGCCTCTTCGGACTCTCCTGGAGGACCTCTTGGAGGCCTCTTGGGCCGTCTGGGAGGCCTCTGGGGGGCCTCTTGGGCCGTCTTGGGCCGTCTTGGACTCTCTTGGGCCGTTTTGGAGGCCGTCTTGGACCATCTCGGGCGGACTTGGAGGCCATCTTGGGCCATCTTCGCGATTTTTTGAGGATGTCCCGAGCGAAACGGCCGTTTTTGCGCACGGTGGCGGGTTCTGCCGGAGCCCACTGGGGAGTTCTTTTGGAAAAAAAACCAAAACCAAAACCTAACAGCTCGTCCAGCACGCCGTGCACCCCTGCAAGCAGGGGGCGGCGGATTCGGTAGCCTTCGGCCCATCCCGCCTCCGTGCCTGGGTTGTGGGTCAGAGTTCTCAGGAATACTTCTTGGAGTCTCTTCGTGGCGCTCGCGGGGGGTCTTTTCGGGGGGCCCTTGGGTGCCTTTTGGGGCCTCTTGGGGGGTCTCTTGGGGCCTCTTGGGAGCCTCTTGTGGGTCTCTTGAAGCCGTCTTCGGGGACTCTTGGGCCGTCTTGGGCGCCTCTCGGCCATCTTGGAGCCCTCGAGCCCTCTTGGGCAGTTGTCGAGTCCTCTTGGAGGCCTTTTGGGCCGTCTTGGAGTGATCTTGGGGGCCTCTAGGGCCGTCTAGGACGGTCGGGAAGACAAAAAGGCGAGAACGCCACAAACCTTCAAAAACCTATGGAAAATTAGTTGCTTGGGCCTCTTGGGGCTCTCTTGGGAGACCTCTTGGAGGCCCCTTGGGGCGTCTTGGAGGCCTCTCGGGCCGTTTGGGGGCCATCTTAAGCGTCTTGGAGCGATCGTTCGGCGACTCTGGGCACTCTTGGACCGTCTTGGGGGCCTCTTAGGGGCCCTCTTGACCCGTTTCGGGGTGGATTCGGGGCCAGGGTCCCTTGAGAACCCTCAGGATCGAGGATTGAAGCTCGGGAGATGAGGCAATGGAGTTGAGGACACGTCCACTCCGTGCCCAGCGGCACGGTGGCGGATTTTGCCCGTGAAAATGTTTGCTCAGACCGCGGCGGCGGCGAGGGCGGCAGCCACGACGGCGAGGCCAGCGGCGACAATGACAGCGACGGTGGCGACGGAGACGGCGGCGGCCGCGGCGACCGACGGCGACAGGGAGGAGTTAGGTCAGAAAAAGGATATTAGGGGAGGAGGACGATAGGGAGGGGCAACGGTGGTGGCTAGATGTCCTGAGCCTCATCATCATCAGCATCATCATCAGCACAGCATCATCATCGTCATCATCATCATCATCATCATCATCATCATCATCATCAGCATCATCAGCCTCATCATCATCATCAGCATCGTCAGCATCAGCATCATCAGCATCATCAGCACCAACAGCAGCATCATGAATCCAATCAGCAGCATTGATTCGCAACACCATTATCATCATCAGCATCATGATCATCATCATCATCATCATCATCATCATCATCATCGTCATCATCAGCATCATCATCAGTATCATCATCAATATCGCCATGCGGTTTCTCCTCTCCCCCCGACCCCCCCGACACCGCCCCATCATCTTCACCACCACCACCACCACCACCGCCCACCCCACACACTCCACCCCCTTCACCACCACCTCCTTCGCCTCGTCTATCCCCGCTCATCCTCCTCCACCTTCTTATCTTCCTCCGCAGCTATTCGCTCATTATCCCCTTTATCATTCCTCATCCAGCCTCCTTCACGTCATCCTCCTGCTCATCATCATCAGCAGCAGCAGAAGCAGCAGCAGCAGCATAATCCTCATCATCATCAGTATCAACATGAGCATCATGCTCACCATCATCGTTAGCAGCATCATCATCACCATCAGCATCATCATCATCGCCATCCTCCTTGTCAGCACCACTCTCTTTTCTAGTGTTACCATCACCGCCATCAGCAGCGTTACGGTCACTCTTCGCATGTCTCGCATCCTTCTCCTCATCGTCATTCTGCCTCCTCGTCCCTCATCATCCTCTCGTTTCTCCTCGTTCCTCCTCCAACAGACCTCCTCCTCCTCCTCCTCCTCCCCCTCCTCTTCCCCGCACCCTCTTATCACTCATCGCACACTCTCTTTTCTTATCCCACGGATTCTCCCCATTCCTCATCGCACCCTCCCCATCGCACCTCACGTCTTCCTTCCTCCTCCCGCCTCCTTCCTCACCGCACCCATTCTCGATATGCATACCCGCCTCCCCCCCCCATGTTCTGTGATGAGGGCGGTGCGGCCCCCGTGACCAGTGCGCTAGCCCGCCCCAAGGTGTCGGGTTCCTTTCTAAGGACCCCCCAGAGTTCACAAGAGCGGCGGTTGAGTCAGCAGAGCAGGTCAGAACTCCACGAGCTGCATCGGCATCGGTATCCCCCATGCTCTGCGCGTCCTCATCCTCATCATCGCGCCTCACGTCTTCCTTCCTCCTCACGCCTCATTCCTCACCGCGCCCATCCTAGACATTCTGGCCTCTCCTCCTCCTCCTCCTCCTCATCATCATCATCATCCTCCTCCTCACCTCCTCCTCCTCCTCCTCCTCCTCCTCCTCTCTCCTCCTCCTCCTCCTCCTCCTCCTCCTCCTCCTCCTCCTCCTCCTCATGCTTCGCATCCTCCTGCCCTCCTCTCCTCCTCCTCCTCCTCCTCCTCCTCCTCGTCCTCCTCCTCCTCCTCCTCCTCGTCCTCCTGCTTCTCCCCACCCCAGGTGCTCTGCGCCGCCTCTTCCTCTGGCCCCGGGCCTCCCCGCGCGCGCAGGGGCAGCTGAGGCACGGCGAGCGCAGCCGGCAGGCCCGCTGCTGCACCCGCGCGCCCGTGCGAGCGCCCGCGCGCACACCTCTCGAAGGCGAGCCCCCCACACACACGCACACACTCACACACACACACACACACGCACACGCACACACACACACACGCACACACACACACACACACACGCACACACACGCACGCACACACGCGCACGCGCACGCGCACGCGCACGCGCACGCGCACGCGCACGCACACACACACGCGCACACGCACACGCACACGCACACGCACACGCACACGCACGCGCACACGCACGACACACACGCACACGCACACGCACACGCACACACGCACACGCACACACGCACACAACGCACACACGCACACACACACCACACACACACACACACACAACACACACACCACACACACACACACACACACACAACACACGCACACACACGCACACCACACGCACCATCCATCCTCCCCCCCCCACACACACACATCCTCCCCCCCCTCTCACCCGCCCACATCCCCCCCTCCCCCCCCCCCTCCGCATCCCCCCCCCCCTCCCGCATCCTCCTCCCCCCCCTCCACATCCTCTCACATCCTTCCACCCTCACCCGTCCGTCCCCCCCTCCCTTGTGCCCCTCCTCCCACCCTTCACCTCCCGCCCCCCACTCCACCCTTCCGCCACTTCGCGGCGAGGGGGCGGGAGGAGAGGGTGCGATGCGAGGAGAAGACGATCAGCAGTGATCTGCGCAGAACGGGGACCCAAGTGCCCAGCGCAGGACAGTTGGGAGACCGCCGTGGAAGAAGAGGGCCAGGACCATGATCTGGCACAGGAGGGAAAAGCCTGGCGACGGGGAGGGGAGGAGCGGCAAGGCCTTGGATGGCGCACAGACGCCCCCGCCCCCCCCTGGTAGTCCCAGCTGGCCTCCCCGGCTGAGGCCAGCCGGGGCTACCGGGGGGGGGGGGGGCTGTCTGGGCGCAGCCCGAAGCCTCACCAGGGAGGAGGGCAGAAGGTCAGGGGCGGCCTCACCGGCCCCTGGAGCCTAGAGCAGACCATCCCCTTCCGTGGCGTGCCCCTCGCCTCGCCCCCAAGACATGTGTACGCGGCCGGAGGGGGCTCGAGAGGCGAGAATGACGGGTCGGTGATAGGCCGCGCCCGAGAAGGGGCGGGAGGAGAGTGGCGAGTGATGATCGAGGGCGTGCAAGGGGGGCGGAGGAGGCCCAGGCTCCGACGGCACGATGTTTCCCCGGCGTGGCCCATTTGAGGTCTCGACCCCTTCCCAAGAAGGCCAGCTTTTCATCCTGAGTCTTCTTGTTGACGGTCCCGAGGCCCGGCGAGGGCTCCCAGAGGCCGAAAGCTGCCATTGCCAAAAACCTCCTCGTGCTTTCTCGAGGGGGCCTGTGGAGTACGCACGGGGGCTCGGAGGAGGGGGGCGGCGGAGCCAGCACGTCCAGGGTGGTGCGCCGCGCTCGGGGCGCCGGCGAGGAGGGCGCGTACAACCCCATCACCGGCGAGACTGGCGGCTCGCGGCGGGGCCGGGGATCGGAACGAACGACGTGGGTACGAAGACTAAGTGCAGTCCCTGCCCATTTAGAGCAGGACTCGCTGTCGGCCTCACCATTGATGTTGTCCTTTCGAGACGGACGGCCGCCTGGCCAACAGCGGCAGCTGTCGGTCTGGGGAAGCATGTGTTGTTCCGCATCGCACCCCTTTGTGCCGTACCCATGTCGGGCGTCCACATGAGAGAGGGCAGTATTGGGTACAGCCAGGACCCCAGGTAAGGGGTCCGGTTAGTAGTATGGCCCTGGAGCTTTTAAATTGGCCAGAATCACTAACCCAGGTCTGCCGTAGCTGTTTTTTTCGGGTGACGGAAGTTCCGGTTAGTGGAACGGGGCCGGGGGGGCGTCCCCCACTACACATCAGTAAACCAGGTCCCACTAAACCCAGTTCTGCCAACGCCCGGCAGTAATTAGCACCTGCAGTTTGCTCGCAGCGCGGGCGCTCGCTCTGCGTGGGCAGGCCTCGACGGGTTGCCCTTTGGCAGACTTGCGCCAAGGAGGGCGAGAGGAGGGCAGCCGCGGAGGAGGAAGGATGAGAGGAGGGCGGCCGCAGCAGCACTCGGACACGGCCGGGGCCCTGTGGTGGCCCAGCACTGGTTCTGGCGAGCAGGAAGGGGGGGCGAGGTTCGAGGCTCCGAGTTCGAGAAGGTTTTCTACCATTTTCGGCCTTCAGGGGCTGTTTTTCGGGCCCCAGGACGTTCAGAATGGATCCGGGGTGCGACATTGCACTAGTCTGGTGCAGGTCGGCATCGGACTGGGGGTCAATCTGGTGCCTGGAGATTGATTTTGAGCTGATTTGTCCTCATCCTCTCTTCTTGACCGATTCTCTGGGGGCCCATCCAGTTCAGACCCCCCGGCCGCCTCCAAGATGAGAGCAGCAGCAGAAAGTCATCGAGCGCCGGAGCTCCTCGAGTCCGCGCGGCCGACGGGCAGCAAGCATGACCGTAGAGGCAGCGGTGCGTAAGCGTAAACTTTCGGAGCTCCGCGCGGATATCCTGCAGCGGCGCCAGGCCCCCTCTGGCGGCGCCTGCGGCGCTGCCAGGGAGAGGGTGGCCAAGCGCCGATCCAAGAGGTCCGCGCAGATCCCAGGAGCGCATCTGTTTGCAGGTTTGTCTTCCCCTGGAGAGCGGCGGCGAGCCTGACCTCAGGGCGTCGAGTCTGACCTTCGTGGTGGCTTTGTTCACGCCGTCGTGATGTCGGGCGAGTGGGGGAGAAGCGAGCTGGGCGAAGGGACGGGCGGGAGCGGGAGGGAGTGGGAAGGGAGGAGGGGGATGGAGGGGGGGAGGGGGGGTGGGGGGATGGAGGAGGAGGTCGAGGTGGAAGAGGGGGCAGAGGATTGATTGAGCCTCTTCGCTCGGGAGGAGGAGTGGGCGGAAGAGGGCGGGAGCGGGAGGCGGAAAGTGCCGAAAGGGGAGGGAGAGGGGGGGCGGCGGCGCAGTTCGCGACGCGGAGCGAGACGAGCAGGGCGGCGGGCCAGCCGACTTGTGAGCAGACTACTGTGCTGGACGTCAACAGGCGCCGCACAAGGGAGGTGCTCGAGACCGCAGTGTGCGACCCCGAGGATCTTGTTAGGCTGGCTGCTCTCAAAGAGGAGGGCGATGGGCACGACCCGAGTGGGACCACAATTGAGGCAGCTGGGGATCCAGAGGGAAATCGGCAAGGCGGCGACAGGACATTACTCCTGAATTATTTGGCTGTTGGCTTGGATCATGTGGTTGTTGGCTCCAGGAGCCTCCTGGCGGTGAAGGAGCAGAAATTGTTGATGGTATGCTTGCATCCGGTGACGTCGGTGAGTGGCCCAGGTTCTTCTTTGTTTGCTGAAGAGATACTACCACCAACCGAAGCTGCATAAGAACAACTTCCGATTCGATGATCCAAATTGCGGCCCTGCCAGAGCCGCGGGGAAGATCGACGGAGGTGCTGAAAGCGACCGAGAGCGTTCTGCAAGTCCAGGTCCTCAACGCCCTCCCCCCGACTCAATCGCAGCGTCCCCCGCGGTATCTTGAGGGGGATCGCCACGGGATGCCACCAACTCGCAGGAGGAGGAGGAGGAGGAGGTGCAGGAGGAGCAGGAGGTGGGGTAGGAGGAGGATCGATTATCCTCAGCCCTCAGGACGTGTGTTAGAAACATGTGTATTCCCGCCGTGCAGCTCACTGGATAGCAGCCAGCCTCTTGTCGGCCCTCACTGCACCGCCTGCTCCGAATCGAAGGGCTCTGGCAAGCACACCTTGGCGCTGACGCGCGTTAACTGAGGACTGTCGAGAGGAAGAGTTGGATAAGCAGGGGGCGGGGCAGCCGTCTTCCCCCTTGCCTCGCTTGGGGGGCACGGCGGCCCGCGGAGCGGCAGGCCGAGCTCGCGGCCCTCGTCCGGGAGCCGCCGGGCGCCCGCGGGGAACCTGCAGGAGGGAGCGGGTGCCGGCTCCCATCGTTGTGTCCTGTCGTCCACGCCTCGAGGGGGGCACGCCCCCGGCGTCGTGGCAGAAATTCGCGACGGAGGACTTCTCGGTACTGTGGCCTCGGGGGGCCCTCGCCAGGCCCTCGGGCTGTCACAGGAACGACTCAGGACGAAGCGCCGGTCCCGGGGAGTGGGTCGCGACCTCCAGGGTTTCACGTTCATGACGTCGGGGGTCCGCGCGCACACACGCGCGCGGTCCGCACCCAGATGCTCAGCGGCGCACGTGCCATAGAGGCTCTGGCTCACGGCCCACGCTCCGCCCGTCCCCCTCGCCCCCATCCTCTCCCTCCTCTTCAACCTCCTTATTGTCCTTCTCCTCGCCTCTTGACGGAGTCATGGCGACCTGGCCGTAGGGCTTATGTGCACCTGGAGTCGGAGGCAATGACAAGCTGAAGTGCGATTGGTGCTACAAGGGCTGCGTGCCCAGTTGCAAGCCCTGCCCTGGTTCAGCTGCGGCTCCTCTATGGTGCAGCAGCTGCAAGATACGTGAGGGCGCCTGCTTCGGCGGTAAGCCCGAGCTGTCCTCGCGCGCGCCCCCTGGGTTCGCTTAGTACAAAACGTTTCCAAGGACGTGAAATTAGATCCAGCCACTCTTCGCCAAGCACCCCGCTGATGATGCGACCCCTCCAGCAGCAATACTGCGGTGGCACTGCCGCGTCGCGGATGGAGCACCCAGCAACTGGATTGTTGGACCGTGCCTCCTTGCTGCACTGGTCTTAGCCGCCCGGTTGGTTGCTGGAATCTCCGGCGGCCGCGCTGCTAGGGCCGTGCCCCCCAGCAGCCGCGCTGGCAGGACCAAGCCATAGTGGTCCAGGGCTTGCGCGCAGCAGCTCGGCTGGCGCTGTGCCACCAGCAGATTCGCTGCTGGGACTGGGCCGCGACGCCGCTGAGGCCTTCAGCAGTCAAGCTCCTGGAGCCGCTGTTCGAGCTGCATTGCAGTCGGGGCCCGGCCGCCATGCTGAGAAGGCCGGGCACGACGCGCGCGCCGAACATCTTATGTGGGGGGGGGGGGCGGAACCGCCGATGCCGATCCCGGATCCCGATACCCCATGTGATCGAGATTTCGGCGCGGCAGCCGCGATCCTGGCTCCGGTTCGCTGGCGGCCTCCTGGCCAGCGCGCTGCTGTCCTCCGCGGGCGGCGCAGGGCTGTGGCAGCTCGGGCAGGACCAAGACGACGCCGGCCTCCCGATGTCTCGGCTGCGCGCAAGAAGGACCATTCGCCCGAGTGACCTTTGTTGCGGGCCCACAAGGGTCCACCAAGCACTGGCTGGCGCGTCTGGAGTTGGGCCCCCCCCGCGGCTTCCCGACGCCGCGCACCAAATGCCGTTCTTGCCTACGGGTCCTATCGCGTGTAGCTGAATGTCATTGCGCGCTTCGCTGCGAGGGGACAGCTGACGCGGTCGTGCGCGACCTTATTTTCAGCGCGGCCGAGGCAGAGAGGAGGTCACTGTCGGGATCTCCAGACCCTTCCTTCGCTGCCGGCTCTGGTGCGCCAGGGGTCGGCGCAGGTCTCGGTGAGGAGTGGGCCACACTCAAGGCTACGGATGAGCTTCTGCGAGATTGTGCGGTGGGATCGACGAGGGCAGCGAGCGGCAAAGCAAGTCCCACAAGGACCACCTCGTCGTCTTCTTCGACTGGAAGGACCAACTTCAAGGTTTCGGATGAGCTTCTGCGAGATTGCGGTCGGGCACTGCTGGGTAGCGTTTCGCTCTGCCGGCTCTGGTCCCCCCTGCTTGGGCCCGACATGCTATCCTTTTCCCCTGCCCCCTTGGCATCAAGGTCCCGAGCCTCCCGCCCCGCGGAGCGCAGCGACGCGCGAGCTGCCTGACAACAAGAACGCGTCGCCAGGCCCGCCGCCGCGACACGCTGCGCAACAGTTCATGACCCGACGTGGTGGGGCCTGAGGAGGAGCAGGGAGCGGCAAAGCAAGCCCCACCGGTTTTGCATCGGTGTCTCTCTTTCGAGTGGAAGGACTTTCTCTGCGGAGAGTGCTCCCCAGGCGACTTCATGAGTGCGTGCCGGCGGATCGTCAGCGCAAGCGGCCCCAAAATTGCGTCCGCAGCGGAGATCCTGTGCGGGGAGCAGGGTTGCAGCAAGGCGGCGCGTGTTTCCTCGGGGCCCTGGACATCGCTGCCAAGCGCGACCCCGAGGGCGGGTGCCGGGAGCTCTACGACGGGGTCCGACGCGGTACGGGAGTTTCTCCGCTCTTGCGCGGAGCCATCGGTGGTGAAGATTCTAAGCTCCAGTTTCTTCGTGGGCCTGGTGGACGAGCGTGGTACCATGCTGCAGTGGTATCACGTGAACGTGGATTACACATTGATTTATGGCGACCAGTCGTTCTTCTTGAAGTGGCGGGAGCTGAAAGCGGACAAGCTCGCGCTGGACCGCCTTGGCGAGCTTTCCTTCCAGCTGTGCGATCTGGATTAGAGACTCCTTGCTGGAGACAGGCGCACGGGCGTCATCTGGAACAAGGGTTTCGACCGTGTCTGGCTCCTTGTCCCGCGCCCGCGCAGGCGGAGTGGCGGACGTGGCAGGGGTTGGCTGCACGCCGCATCGCGCAACTGTCCAAGGTGCACGACGAGGGCTCCGCGCAGAGCGTCGGCGACTGCGCATGCCGCCCGGTCTGCCCGTCAAGCAAGTCCATGCCAACATCCCGGGGGGGGGTCTCCTTGTTGCCCACTTCCTTCGCCGCTTGACCGGCGGCTTCGACGAGCGGGGGCCGACACCCAGGCGCGTGCCTCGAAGTGCAGGCGGGGGGGGTCTCGGCTGCTTTCTCGCGGCGGTCAGGGCTTCCACCAGAATGCCAGGGTCCCTCATCAGAGCCCTGAATCATCGGGGCTGGGGGCAGTCAGGGGTAGCTGCAGATTCGCGCCTCGTGAGCCCAACCCGAAGTTAGATCGCGGCTAATTTCAGCGCCTAGCCTTCCCGAATCATCGGGGCTGGGGGCAATCAAAGGTAGCTACAGATTCGCGCCTCGGCGGCCCCAACCAGAGTGCTGTGTTACCCCAGGCCGCAGTTATCCCGGATAATTCGGGAATCCAACTCCTGGAGGGGCTGCGATTGCGAGGAGCCAGCGGCACGGGGCGGATAGCTAGCGCCTTTTGTCAGGATCTGGGCCTTCCAGATGGTGTCAGAGTTGGTCGGGGGCGCTGCATCGCGCCGCGTCGCCAAGACACTGGCGATGCGGCTCGATGTGGAGCCTGATTTCTTCCGCGCCCACGCCGACGTCACCGATGCATCGCCGTTGCGTCACCGATGCATCGCCGACACATTGCCCGTTACCTCTCAGCGGCCCCGGCACGGGTGGCCGCGGGCGCCTTGTGCGCGCGTGCACCCCGAGCAAGCTCGAGCGAGGGATGCGCCGAAGAACAGCCCTGTCCTCGGCCCCTCTCCGGGGCCCCATCTGCGTGAAGATTCGATCGCCGCTCCTCGCTTTCTGGTGTTTTGTTTTCCTGGCCTCCGTGTGTGTGTGTGTGTTCTCGCGTTGCCATCGACACTTGGACTCATGGTGTGGCGTTCGATTCGCGTACCCTTATTACCCTCCAAGCTGGGACAGCATTCTCTCTCTCTCTCTCTCTCTTTGTTTCCCTCTTCTCTCCCCATCATGCTCCTTGCGGACTTGCAGGCAGTGCGAAGAGGACGGACGCATTTTCGCGGAGAGAAGTGCGGCATCAGCGTTTCAAACGTTCGCGAAGGATTCCCACTTGACGTCGTAAGAAATTAGGAGGGTGGCCATCCCTGAGCGTCACGCTCGGGGAGGGCTTGCGTTGTATTAGCTGTCATGGCATTGTTTTGGCAGCCTCCCAACCTTAGCCTTCAGCTGCCCGAGTGAAAACGCCAGAGCAACCGCATGACCGACCGCATATGTATGAACACCGAATCTCGGTAGTAGTGGCCACACTTCTCTTGTTCACCGTCACAGCTGCACACAGGTTGCACGAGGTGTTGCTTTTCCCAGCGGGTAGAAGTGACAGATGTGGCTTGCAGCCCGATGACGACGCAAGGGGACGGGGCAGGAGCAGGAAGGGGAGGGGCATGATGTGGACGGGCAGGAGAATTGGGAAGGAGGAAAGGCAGCATCAGCACATGCAGCACGACTCAGACCACAGAGAACATTGAGAGAGCGGGAGGCGGGGTAAGACGGAGATGAGGGGGAGGGAGGACCAGGAGGACGAATCGGGGGGGCGGGTGCATGGGGCAGGGAGCAAGGAGGGGGGGAGCCTTTGTGACGGGATCCCTTGGGAGCTGCGCGGGGCGGGCGCGCCTCCTCCCGCGGAGGCGGGATTGGACGACTCCGGGCGGCCGCGGGGGGCAGCGCGTGGGGGCAACAGGGCGGCCCAGCCCCCGGCTTCTCCCCACGCCTCCCCCCCCCCTCCTGCTCCCCGGGCCTCCCATTCTGCGGCGAGCGAGGGGGGGGAAGCGAGGAGGCGAAGGCCTTCTCAGAAGGCCGCGGGGCTTCTCTGGAAGCCCTCGCGCCTTCTGAGAGGTGTTTCTGTTTCTGCCTTCGGGGGGGCGGCTCGGAAAACTTCTCGGAAGGCCGAGGGACTTCCGAACCTTCTCAGAAGGCCTTCTCCTTCTCACTCCCCCCCCCTCGCTCCCCAGGCCTCCAACGACCTGGCGACAGGTTCAGGGGCGGTGCGCAACTCACCTATGAGCCTTGGCGCTCCCACGGGCCATCGGGGGCTGGGGCGAAGTTCACGCGCGAGCGCCGGTGCCGCGATCTCCAGAGCCCCCGCGCCCGGATCTGACAGGGGAAGGAGGAGTCGTCTCCCTGCTCCTCCTCGTCCTCCGCGGGTCACCAGGGAAGTCTGGGCAACTCTGAGTCTTCCTCGTCCGCCTCGAGTGGCTCGCGGCCCCGAGCCCATGCATGTCTCCGTCTCCCCCGCATCCTCCTGCCTCCTCGGGATGGACATGCGGGCCTACCTCTTCCATTATCCTCCTTATTCACCTCCTCCTCCTCCTCCTCCTCCTCCTCCTCCTCCTCCTCCTCCTCCTCCTCCTCCTCCTCTCTCCTCCTCCTCCCCTCCTCCTCCTCCTCCTCCTCCCCCTCCTCCTCCTCCTCCTCCTCCTCTCCTCCTCCTCCTCCTCCTCCTCCTCCTCCTCCTCCTCCTCCTCTCTCCTCCTCCTCCTCCTTTTCCTCTCCTCCTCCTCCTCCTCCTCCTCCTCCTCCTCCTCCTCCTCCTCCTCCTCCTTCCTCCTCTCCTCCTCCTCCTCCTCCTCCTCCTCCTCCTCCTCCTCCTCCTCCTCCTCCTCCTCCTCCTCCTCCTCCTCCTCCTTTTCTTTCCTCTCCTCCTCCTCCTCCTCCTCCTCCTCCCCTCCTCCTCCCCTCCTCCTCCTCCTCCTCCTCCTCCTTCTCCTCCTCCTCCTCCTCCTCCTCCTCCTCCTTGTCCTCCTCCGCCTCTCTCCCTCGTCCCCTCCGCACGCATCCCTTCCACCCCTCCCACAGTTCTCCCTCTGCCCCTCCCACCTCCCCTTTGATTTCTTCCCTCCCGACATCTTGTGCCCCCCCTCGCGGCTTGGCAGGCGGGCCTGATTCCCGCAACGGGACCCCTGGATCACATGACTGCTCCGGAGAAGGAGCCAGCTCTCTTGCACCCGGGGTTGTTCGCCTTTTTCGCTGAATTTCCATGCTGCTTTGATGGAGGAGCAGGAGGAGCAGGGGCCGCAGGATCATTGCATATGTTGCAGGAACAAGAGTGGATGGATGAAGAGAGGAGGGAGGAGTGCTGGAGGAGGAGGATGAGGAGAAGCGAGAGGAGGAAGAAGAGACGAGGAGGCCTGACTTAGCGGGTCGGCGAGAGGAGGACGAGGGGGGGGACGGGTAGGACGAGGGGGAGGAAGAACAGAAGGTGGACGAGATGGAGGTGGAAAAGTAGGCGAAGGAGGTGGAAGAGGTGTGGATGAGGTGTGGGTGAGGACGAAGAGGAGGTGGAAGAGGAGGAGAAGAAGCACAGCGAGGATGACCAGAAGGCGGAGGAGCTGGAGGAGGAAGCCCCCCCCCTCCCCCCTCCCAGCCTCCCCGCCCTCCGCTCCGCTCGAGGACCTGCCTGGCAGGAGGCTCGACCCGACGCGGAACCAGTCGTCCAGCCTCCAGCCCGGGGTCGCCTGCGTGGCGCCCGGCAGCGAGCAGCAGAGGCGCCGGGCTCGGCGGCCCGCAGCGTGGTGTTTCGCACGCATACCACTGCCGCCCACTGCCGCTTCTCCCACTCTGGCTCCCACTGCTGCCGTTTCTCCTCGTCCTCCTTCCTCATCCTCCTTTCTCTTCCTCCTGCTCATCCTCCTGCTCTGCCGCCACCTTCTCCTCCTCCAGTGTACGCAGTTCCGCTTTTTCTGTTGCGCATGACACGATGGGATCTCTTTGGGAACTCCGTGTCCGCTATGGCACGCGTCGGCAGATCGAGAAAACGTCAGCGCAGGGTGGGATAAGCAGGACATCAGATGTGGCCCAAGCGCATCTGGCTTTCCCACCTCCCTTTGCCACGCTGCCCTACCCCCCTTCTCCCACGCCTCTCCAGATTCAGGGGATACCCCCTAACGCAGCACAACGACCCTGGTGCTGATCTGGTGTACAGGTGTCAGTAGTTTGTCAGGGCCCCCCGAACCAGGGCATTGCTAACCAAGACTTTCACAGTTCATCCTGGGGAAAGAGAAGGGTGGATGATGTGTCCACCTGCGGCTGCAGTTAACTCGGGCGCGCCAAAGTCCTGGCTCATCAAAGGACCCGTTTAGTGGACCTGAGTTTGCCGTTTGTCACGGGCTCGGATTGACGGCTCGGCCCTGCTGTTTTTGGGGGGGCGAGCCCCCGTCGTGGCGCAGGCTCGCCGTGGCCAGCAGAGCCGCGCCGTTCCCTGTTCAGCGTTCCTCGTGGTAGCGCGCTTGCTGCGGCGACCCCTCGACTACGGCGGGCCCACGCTCCTCCCGGGCCGGGGCCTCCACTCTGTGGTCAGGCGCTGTCAGAAGTTCCCCTAGCCCGAGGTGCCCCCCCCCAGGATTTCCAGGGAGGCTCCCACTGCCTCGAGAGCACCCCTCGCGAGGCCCGGAGGGCCCTCGAGGAAAAAATCCGGGCACTGTGGAAGCATGCCGGGAGCCTTGGCCATCCGTGCCGGCGTATGTTTGCCCCCTTGGGGGGTCCACACCTGAGCGAAAAAGCCGGGGGGCACCGTGGGCTGGGGGCACCTTCAGCCCCCCCCCCGACGTGGTGCCTCGCACCAGCTGCCGAGCTCCTCGCGGGCGCGGCTTCCCGCCGCCATGGGGCCGCCCGGGAGAGGCCGCGGGCCGGGGCCCGCTGTGGATCTCCTGGGGCGCCCGAAACGGGGGTGCGGAAAAACGGGGCACGAAACCATCAGCGGCAGCTACTGGATAGGTTCGATGTCTGTTCATGGGAGCCTTGGGCGGCGACATTGAAATCAGCTTTGCCTGCATGTGGACAGCGTGGGGACCGCATTTGGCCCATCCTTCTGCGCCTCCTCTCCCCTCCCGTTCCCCTCCCCCTCCTCGTTCTCCTAGCCCCCACGAGTCCAGTCCAAGTCTGGTCCAAATCCGGTCCAAATTTGTTCCAAATCTGGTCCAAATCAGGCCCAAATTGGACAGTACAGGGGGCCACGCAGGCTCCCATGGAACGGACACCAGGGATAGGCGTCGGGGGTGGACAGAGCCCCCACCCTGACACGTCGATTGCGTAGTGAATTCTCCGTTGTCGGTTCTCGCGGCCGCTGTTTTCCAGGCTTGCGCCCGCCAGGTTTGGGCCCGAGCTCGGTTTCACTAAACCACGTTTTACTAAAGGGAGGACTGTCCATCCCCGAAGGCGGCCCTCCGTCTCAAATGAGCAACGACCGCGGCGATGGCGACAGCGGACCCTGTTCGGAATGCACAAGAATTGCTGTTGGACTTTGTGCCCATGGTTTCCGTGCCCATTTCGATCGTCCCGAGTCTTCGCGTGTGCAGTCTGCAGATGGTTGCCCATCTTCTCTGTAGGACTCCAGAAGGGAAAAATTGGCACAGGCACTAAGGAGCGTCGATTCCGAAGAATAGATGGGGAGTGGAGGGGCAGACGAACAATCCAGAACATATGTTAAAATATATGGTGAGTCCTGGGAGGATGCCAATTGATTTACGTGTCCCTGGGCCCCTTCAAGGTTCTCTGAGAAGGAAAAGGTACCGATACCGCCACCAGTGCCTGGCTTTCGCCTCTGTGGGCCTCCTGGGGGGCCCTCGTCGCTGCCGCTGGATGCGCTTCGAAATTCTGGTCAGAAGGAACCCCAGGAAATGTTTGGGAAGCAGCGGTATCTGTATATTTTGGTTTTCCCCACGTTCTAAAGCAGATCCTTGCGCGCACCGCTTTCTGCCCCGCATGGGCCTTCATTCGAGAGCGGGCGGGGTTTCGCTCGCCCTCGGGGGCTGGACGAGGCTCTCAAGATTGATCAGGTCGATGCGTGGCAGGAGTAGTTTTTTAGGTCGGGCGTATCCTCCTGCAGGGAGATTTCGGGCGACAATTGAAAGACATTCAACATTATCTTCAAACGTAGTAACAACATCGTCCTCTGACTATGTTTTGACTATCTTCGAGTATTCCTCCTGCAGAGAGACACTCCCGACTTAGGAGTAGTTGGAGGGGCCGTCTCCCACTTCCTGCCCAGCTCCTCCATCTCGCCGTCCTCGTCGTCGCCCTCCTGCTCCTCCTTCCTCCCCCGTTCCGCGTCCGCTCCCCCATGCCTACTCCCGCCTACGCTGCCGCCTTCTCATCGTATTCCTCATCCTCAGCGTCTTCCTACGTGCACGGTCAGTCCTGCAGTCGGCATCCTCATACACTTCATCTTATGGTCGAGTGGCTTTGCCATAGGATGACGGATGCCTAGGGCATCGAAGCTACTTTTTCTTCAACCGCGATGCGTGGAGAAGACAGCGATTACGCCTGCTCGGCTTGTCCGTCTGCAGCTTTTTGCTGTACGGAACATAAGCGTGGACGCCGCGGATTGGATAGTTCATGTTGTTTCCTGACGTCCCGCTCAAAGTCAATTGATCCAGTGGTTCCTTGGATGCACGCAGGCCCAGGGAAAGGTACAACATCCATGGGTCCAGAGAGTCACAGGCAGAGCCCAGACATGACTGCGCGCCGCCGGAGTGCGCAAGTGGATCCGGGCGCCAGTGCTGCGAGAAGCATGGCGTGATCATTGCAGATTCGCACGAGCCCCTCAGCTGGGCGTGGCGCGTGACCGCGTGGCGGGCCCAGGCGCGCTCCGGCGATCTGGGCGCCCCCAGGCGCTCCCGGCGCGCCCAGGCCCCCCCGAGACTTTCCCAGAGGTTCACGGGCGCTCCCAGCCGCTCCGTCGCTTCCGAGAGCGCCCAGGCTCGCCCGGGGAGCTCCCAGGCGGTCCCCGGTCACCGCAGACCGCGCACTTCCATATGCGCTCCCGGGGGCCCTCCCCGGGCGCTCCGAAGCGGCCCCATCACTCCCGAGCGCACACGGGCACAGGCTCTCCCTGGCGCATCGCGGGAGCTCCGGCGCGTCTCCCAGAGTCCCCCCAGGTGCTCCCACCACTCCCAGGATCTCCGAGGCGCTCCGGGGCGCTTCTGAACACTCGCAGGCGTTCCCGGGCTCTGCTTGGGCACAAGCGGCTCCCAAGGGAGGCCTTGAGCACAGCAGGGCGCTCCTGTGAGCTGGCAGAAGCTCCAAGACATTCCTTGGCGCTCCGTGGCCACCCCCGAGCGGCTCGCAAGCGCTCCCGGGCATTGCCGGGCTCTTGCTGGGCAGACCCTGCTTCGCCAGAGCGTCGCGCCCATCAGCGTAGCTTCGCCGCCCGCAGATGAAGATCCACGCCAAACGCGGAGCGACGATCCAATCTTCAGCGCTTCGAGAGGGCGCCGCCGAAGCCGTCGCCTCGGGCCGCCCCCTCCCACCCAACGTCGATGTCGCGCAGCGATGCGCCTCCAGTTGCGAAGCGAGACGCTCTCTCTCTCTCTCTCTCTCTCTCTCTCTCTCTCTCTCTCTCTCTGGAATGCCACAGTTGCGCCACTGCGCATGTCGCGACCTGCTGCCTCGATCGCGGCTTAGCTGCCCCCTGACTGTGAAACGCCTGCGCGCGCAGGCCCACGCCGATGCTAGCCGCAGAGCAGGACTCCCAGCTCGCCGTCTGCGACCTCGCGCGCGGGGGGGCCGCTTGTTCCACGGCGCGAATCTCCCCTCTGAAGGGCGCTGCGCGGAGGCGGGTATGAACGCATCCCCCGCGGAGGCGAGCCGGGTGTTGCGGGGGGGGGGTCGGGGGACGGGGGAAGCGATGTGTCGCCGGTTCCAGGTCGTTTCGAGTGGGGCCGAGGGTCAGAGAGCGCCTTCCCCTGCAGGACCACCAAAAAAGTAACGTCAAGGTGGTCAAACGCCCCGCCGGTTAAGCCGACGAAGATGCGGAGCATCCAGCCATCTCGTTTATGTCCAGAGTTTTGGCTTGACGCTGGGTGTGGTGCACCAGTTGAAGCTTGACCACACAGGTTGGTTGCACCCCTTGGCGTCCGTTTGGGGTCTTCTGCAGACCTGACCCCCAGCCCTACTCAATAGAGGTTCCCCCCTATGGGCTGGTCCCCCCCCTCCGCTGTTGCCCCCTCATTCCTCCCCCCCCCCCAAGCGCCTCGGGTAAGGTTAAGTCGGGCCTGTCCCCCTACAGGGGGATTTTCGACGAAAAATAAAAGATACCCCCAAAAATATCCCCAAAATGTCAAAAAAAACATATTCAAGCAATAGTCCCCATGTCATTTTTGGATCATTGTTCGGGGGTATTTTTTATTCTTCGCCGAAAATCCCCCGGTAGGGGGACAGGCCCGACTTAAAGGGCAAGGGGGCCGCCGCAGGGGCGCGAGCCGCATCACGGAGTCCTCCATCGTGCCCCTGAGCGCCGACGGTGGCCTCGGGCCCCGCGAGCCCACGCCCGAGCGGAGGAGGACGCCCGGCCAGGCCGGCCGGGCGCGCGGAGGGAAGGCAGATTCGGGGGCGGCAAAGAGGGGGGGGGATGACTACCCAGATGGTCTGGTACCGGAAATTTTCGGTAGCGATTTCGACGCACCCCGAATTTCGGTAGCGACCGGATCTTCGTTTGAGGGCGTTGAAATAGCGGATTTCAGAACGCTCTGATACCGGTATTGGGCGCTACATTTCGGTATTTCGGTAGCGACCGATCTCTGCGGAGCGCTACCGGAAATTTTCGGTAGCGGACCATCAGGGAAGGCAGATTCGGGGGCGGCAAAGAGGGGGGTGATGACTAGAGGGGGGTGGATATCATGGCGGGGGCCATGATGTTTCCCCAGATTTCATGGCGCCTCTCCTTGTTGCAATGCGTCCCCGGCCGCCCCCCCTGGGCCGCGCACGTGCCGCCGGCCATGATTTGCACCCCTCCTCTTGGGCACCCCCCTCTTGGCCGCTCCCGACACATGGGGGGCGGATGTCGCGAAGCACCGTTACATGGATCTTTGGCTGGCCCCTGCTCCTGCAGCGGTAGCTCCTGCCTCGTCGTTATTGCTCCAACTTCGTCCCTCCAGGAGGGGGGAGACGGGGGCGCAGCAGGAGTAGGAGCAGGAATAGTGATGAATGGCGATGCCGGGAACAGGGAGTAATGAGCAATGAAGGAGGAAGGCCGAATGCCGTGGATTGGAGGGAGCAGTCATTGCAGAACATGAGAGAAGGAGAGAACGAGAAAGAGAGGAATATATAGACAGAGAGATGGACATAGAGACAGGCATAATTGAGAGACAGACTGAGATAGAGAAAGAGAGAAATAGAGAAACACACAGAGAGAGAGAGAGAGAGCGAGAGCGAGACAGAGGAGAGAAAGAGAGGGAGAGAGAGGGTCCTATACGGGGGGGGGGGGGATGGGTGCTCGCAGGAGCTCGGGAACCGCTCACGCCCCCTGTAGGCTGGGGAGGGCCAGCATCCCCTGGGACACGTGCCTTGAGGAATGTGCGAGCAGGGCACCGCGGCCAGCCTTTGCCCAGGGTGAAGGGGGCCCTGTCCCAACACCCTGAAGCCAGGTGGGCGCAGCCCTATGCCGGGTCACCGGGGGAACCCACCACTCCGCCGTGGAAACGACGGACGTCGTGGTAGAAGATTGAGGCCGACGGCGCGTCACGGTCATTGCGGACGGCATGACCAAACATGCAACCGTCAGGTTGCTGGCGAAGATCCTGAGACGGCCTGCGTTGACGCTCAGCTGCAGAGGAACGGGAAGAGCGAGCTCTCCGAGTCCTCCGGCACCGTGCGCCCAAGCCTGGGGATGGCCAGCAGGCGATCGTCGAGCAGCAATGGCTGGGGCAACTGAAGCCTCGACGGTCGGCACAGCGGTTCTGATGCATGCCCGCGAAGCAGCACTGGCCTGGGCAGCTGGGGACGTGGGCGACCGAGCCGAAGACGGAGGCGGAGTCGAAGTCGGAGTCGGGGTCGGGGTCGGAGTCGTGGTCGGGGCGGGAGTCGGAGACGGAGTCGGAGTTGGAGTTGGAGCCCGAGTCGGACTCGGAGTCGGAGACGGGGTCCGAGTCGGAGTCGGATCCAGAGACGGAGCCGGGGACGGTGTTGGAGTTGGAGTCCGAGTCGGAATCGGAGCCGGAGTCGGAGCAGAAGTCGCAGCCGCATATGGGCTCGGAGTTGAAGTCGGAGACGGAGTCGGGGCCGCGGCGGCCCGTGAGGTCGGAGCCAGAGTTGGAGTCGAAGTTGGAGTCTGAGTCGGAGTCGGAGTCGGAGCAGAAGTCGCAGCCAGAGATGAAGTCAGAGCTCAAGTCGGAGTCGGGCAGGGGCCGCCGCAACCCGCGGGCCGGCGCCAGAGTCGGAGTCGGAGCCAGAGTCGGAGATGGAGTTGGAGTCGGAGATGGAGTTGGAGTCGGAGCTCGGTCGGTAGGCACAGCCCACGTAGCAGTACCGGCACGGCGTGTCCTCGAAGCAGCACTGGCCGGGGCAGCCGGAGTCGTAGACGGCCGGCTCGTCGGCGTTGAGGGCCTCGAAGTAGCGTTGACCGGGGCGGCCAGAGGCGTAGACGTTCGGCGTGGCGGTGTCGATGCCCTCCACCAGCTTGCACTCGCTGGTGTTGGCGGGCACCTCAACCTTCACCGAGAGCGCCGGCGTCGGCCACACGCCGAGGCCATCTCAGCCCACGTCGCCGCACTGGCCCGGCGTGTCCTCGAAGCAGCACTGGCCGGGGCAGCTGGAGTCGTAGGCGATCGGCTCGGCGGTGCTGATGCCCACGAAGACCATCGGCAAGGCGGTGTTCATGCCCTCGAAGCGGCATTGGACGGGGCCGTTGGGGAGGTGGACGGTCGGCCCAGTGATGCCCTCCACCCGCTTGCAATCGTCGGTGGTGGTGGGTTCGTCCTCCCGGGCCGGGTGCGCCGGCGTGGACGTCGGCGTTCTGCACCTCCCGAGGGCACAGCAGCCCGCGTTGCCATACCAGCACGGCGTGCCTTCGAAGCAGCACTGGCCGCGGCGATCGGCTCCGCGGCGTTGGTGCCTGGACCAGCCCCGGGCAATCTCGTACAGCAGGGGCGGCGACACCTAGGCGAATTCATGATCACGAAGATGACGATCGACGTGACATTTTCCATTCACGAGGACGTTCTGCCGATCCTGCTCTATTGATTCGTTCCACGACCTCGACTCGATGGGCCCATCCTCGAGGAGTTTTAGGAGCGAATGAGTGCGGAAGGACAGCGGGCGAAAGAGAAACGGGGGGTCCAGGTGCGGTGCAGGGGCGGTAGGCCGACGCGTGACCGATTCGCACCCCCCGCGCCGAGGCCCTGGTGCTGGCTGCCTCGGCGTGGGGCCTTGGGTCGGGGGTGTTCCCCTACAAGGGAATTTTCGACGAAAAATGAGAAATACCCTAGAAATTCCCCAAAATTGCCAAAAAGTACCCCAAACAGTCCCCAGACTATGTTTGGATTATTGTTTGATTATTTCTCGGGTATTCTTTATGTTTCGTCGAAAATCCCCCCTGCAGGGGGACAGGCCCGACTTAAGCCTTGGTGTTGGCTGCCTCGGCGTGGGGCCGTGGGTCGGGGGTGGGGGGGTCCTGATCTGTCCTTGAGCTAGATGGCTTGAGCCAAGGAGTTACGGACACACACACGCGCGCGCACACACACACGCACGCACGCACGCACGCACACGCACACACACACACACACACACACACACACACACACACACACACGCACGCACACGCACGCACGCACGCACGCACGCACACGCACACACGCACGAGGCGCCCACGGGCGGGCACCAGGCGACATCTCGGCACACCCGCCCAACGCGAGGCCCCCACGAAGCCCACGGACGCCGACCAACGGGGCACCCTCCGACTGGATACCAATCGGAGATCCGGCACTCCAGCACGAGCACCGTGAAACGCCAAGCATGAGGTTCTAAGAGCAAGCGCTGCTTGGGGAGAGCACGATCCGATCGACAAAAGACGACCATCTATGTTTCAAGGTCTCGAGGCCATGCGGGCCGAAAAAACAAGCAGCACGCGGGAGAGAAGCGGGCCCCGCTCGCACGGGATCTGGGGAGAGAGAGAAGACATCAGTGCTCATGCGGAGCAG